AATTCCCTCAAATTATATGAGCTTGTTTGAGCACGGCCCTCTACACCTCTTGTCTCTGTCAACGCTACTTTGTATGTCAAAACAGATTGTTTTTTTATATCCCCAATGTAGAAATGTAAAACACAACAGAATATATTGATGCTATATAAATACTAATGAATACTAATAATAATTGTAGACATCGAAATGTATTTCAGGACATAAGAATTTATTTCTCTAAAGTCTTTTTGTTCCATTAGTTCAAAAGAGATGAATGAATATTGTTTTCATGTTACATGTTCATCACATAGAAACATAAAGAATGTGATGGCAGATAAGAACCATTCGGCCCATCTAATCTGCCCAATTTTCAAAATACTTTCATTAGCCCCTGGCCTTATCTTATAGTTAGGATAGACAAAAAATTGTATATAGGTCGCGCTATAAGAACAGAGAGATAATATAAATAATAGATAAATACATAAAATGAATAAAAGTCCCAATATTAAATCAACCTGTAAAATGCTTGAGTATGTATTGAGTCCAATGAATATCTGAATCTTCTGATGCTGGAGATGTCTTGATTCACTTGTAGATATGTGGATACATAAAAAGACAAATATACTCCAATAGTGCAGATTGTAAGTCGACAAGTAGGGAGGTATAAATCACCGGATAGGTAAACCACTCACCTATTTAAGAGCATAAACTAGCTCATGTATTTGTAGCATTCAGTGGCGTCAATCCCCCACTGGTAGGATATAGGTGGTGAAATTCTTGAGAGCTCCTCGGTATAGAAAGAGATAAAAGACGATATATAGTGCTCACTGTATTATTTTGAAAGGCAAATTAAAAGAGGTAAAATACTCACATATGTATGAGCAGGATATACTGCTCAATATGATAGCGTAGGTGGTACTATCCCCACCTAGGATTCTTGGGTAGAAGCGTGCTCCAATTCAAATTGGTGACCAGGTATAAAACAGAAGATAAAATAATAAAACGTGTTTCACCACACAGGGCTTTATCAACTGGCATTCCAGTTGATAAAGCCCTGTGTGGTGAAATGCATTTTGGCTGTTTTTATATTGATATTTTTATTATTAATAAAGGAATATTGGCCCTTTTTTCTGCCTCTATATACCTTTTATTATTTTATCTTCCACTACTCCATCCATCTGGACCATCCAGGGTTGCACAGCACTCATCAGTGAACAGGACTGTTTGAAAATTAGTCTTCATGTATATTTCTGCCCAATCAAACCGTTTCTGCTTGTGAGCATTGGTTAGTGGTGGCCGAATAGAAGGTTTATGCACAGTTGCAAGGAAGATTTCTGCCAGATCCATGCATCGGATCAAGAGAGCAGATGCTAAAATACCATTACATAGCAGCAAACAGATATTTGAAGCTGCTAGTGCCTCTGGAGTCCCACGGACATCAAGGTGTAGAGTCCTCCAGAGTCTTGCAACTGTGCATAAACCTTCTATTCGGCCACCACTAACTAATGCTCACAAGCAGAAACGGCTGGATTGGGCAGAAATATACATAAGGACTAATTTTCAAACAGTCCTGTTCACTGATGAGTGCTGTGCAACCCTGGATGGTCCAGATGGTTGGTGGACGGCCACCCTGTTCCAACAAGGCTGCAACGTCAGCAAGGCGGTGGTGGAGTCATGTTTTGGGCCAGAATCATGGGAAGAGAGCTGGTCGGCCCCTTTAGGGTCCCTGAAGGTGTAAAGATGACCTCTGCAAAGCATGTGGAGTTTCTGACTGACCACTTTCTTCCCTGGTACAGGGAACTATGCTTTCCTTAATAAAATCATCTTCATGCATGACAATACACCATCTCATGCTGCAAAGAATACCTGTGCATCAATGGCTGCTATGGGGATAAAAGGAGAGAAAGTCATGGTGTGGCCTCCCTCCTCCCCTCACCTCAATCCTATTGAGAACCTTTGGAGCATTTTCAAGCAAAAGGTCTATGACGATGGGGGGCAGTTTACATCCAAACAGCAGCTCTGGGAGACTATTCTGACATTATGCAAACAAATTCAAGCAGAAACTGTCCCAAAACTCACAAGTTCAATGGATGCAAGCCTTGTGAAGCTGCTATCAATCAAGGGGTCCTATGTTAGAATGTAACGTGACCTGTTAAAATGTTTACAAAGTTAAAATGTTGTTATAAGTTTGATTGCAATAGCTTTTGATTTCAGTAAATATGCTGCAAACACAACAAATGACTAGAGTTGTGCAGACACCTGGTTGTTCGGGTTCGGCCGAATGTCGGCAGAAAGTTTGAGTTCGGGACTCGAACTTGACCCGAACCCAAACCCCATTGAAGTCAATGGGGACCCAAACTTTTTGGCACTAAAATGGCTCTAAAAAGTCCTGGAAAAGGCTGGAGGTTTGCAAAAGGAAGTAAAATGTATTGCCTAAGTACTAATATACTTACCCAGTGGAAGAAGAAGAATGTTACTTTCTCTCCTTTAAATAAAAAGTATACAAACATAGCCAGGATTCAGCTGTAAGCATTTGCAACACTTACAACAATCAACTAACACACATTCATATAAAATGTAAGTTACTTGGCCAGTCAATGTAATGACAGGAATGAATAAGTAGATAACTCCCTAATTCCCACGGTATTAGAGAGCTATCAACTAAAAGGCTGAAAGGCCTGAATTGCTTAGTAGAAAAATTACTTAGTAATAGTAAATTATGCCCCTACTCGCCATACCGCGAGTAGGGGCATGTCTATTAAAAAGTGAGCAGCCTATGGCTGTTCACTGTTACAAAAAAAAAAAGCTTCCCCCCCCTCCTGAGCCCCCTCCCCTGAACGGCGGGTGGGGGCCCTAAAGTAAAATAAGGTTGGGGACCTATTGTCCTCCCCCCGGCCCCCACCCATGAGTGGTGGGTGGGGGCCCTAAATTCGAATAAGGGGTGGGATCTATTGTCCTCCCCCCAGCACCCACCCCAGAGCGGTGGGTGGGGGCCCTAAATTTGAATAAGGGGGGGACTTATTGTCCTTCATCCCTACCCCCACCCCTGAACAGTGGGTTGGGGCCCTAAAGAAAAATATTGAGGGGGGACCTATTGTCCTCCCCCCAGACCCTACCCATGAGTGGTGGGTGGGGGCCCTAAATTCGAATAAGGAGGTGGGATCTATTGTCCTCCCCCCAGCCCCCACCCCAGAGCGGCGGGTAAAATATTGAGGGGGGACCTATTGTCCTCCCCCCAGACCCTACCCATGAGTGGTGGGTGGGGACCCTAAAGTAAAATAATGGGGGGGGCTCTTGTCCTCCCCACAGCCCCACCCCTGAGTGGTGGGTGGCAGCTTTAAATTAGAATAAGGGGGGGACCTAATGTCCTCCCCCCTGGCCCCCACCCCTGAGAGGTGATTGGGTACCCTAAATAAAATTGGGGGAACCTAATGTCCTCCCCCTGGCCCCCAACCCTGAGCGGTGGGTCGGGGCCCTAAATAAAAATTGGGGGGGACCTAATGTCCTCTCCCCTGGCCCGCACCCCTGAGGAGTGGAGAGTGGCTTATAAAGCCTTGCCCCGCCCTTCAATTAGGCTCAGAGCACTCTGATTGGTGGGCTTAAGCCATCCAATCAGAGTGCTCTGACAAGTAAATGAAGAGACCGACAGGTAAGTCTCTACATTTACCTGTCACAGCACTCTGATTGGTTGGCTTGAAATCCACCAATCAGAGTGATCTGTGTCATTTTACACAGAGTGGGAAAGTTCTTTGGAATTTTCCCATGCTGTGTAATTTGACTCATAACACTCTGATTGGTTACTTAATCCAAAAACATCAAAACAGGAGTTTTATTTAATTTATTTTTTTACAGGTACTTAGCTAATGGTCCCCCCTCATTATTTTTAGGGTGAAGGGGGTAGGTAGGGGGTTAATTTGTGGGGGTAGGGGGGTGAATAGGGGTTTGGGTATCCCTATTCGCCTGGGGGAGGGGGGTTCATTTTTTGATTAGGGCCCTCACCCGCCACTCAGTGGTGGGGGCCAGGGGGAGGACAATAGGTCTCCCCCCTTATTGGTATTTAGGGCCCCCACCCACCGCTCAGGGGTGGGGGCAGGGGGGAGGACATTAGGTCCCCCCAATTTTTATTTAGGGCCCCCACCCACCACTCAGGTTTGGGGGCCAAGGGGGAGGACAGTACATCCCCCCCTCATTCTTATTTAGGGCCCCCACCCACCGCTCAGGGGTGGTGGCCCGGGGGGAGGACAGTAGGTCCCCCCCATTGTTATTTAGGGCCCCCACCCACTGTGCAGGGGTGGGGGCCAGGGGGAGAGGACAGTCGGTCCTACCCCCCTTATTGTTATTTAGGGCCCCCACCGCACTGGGAGCTGGGGGGAGGCCAAAAGGTCCCCCCCTTATTTTACTTTAGGGCCCCCATCCACCGCTCATGGGTGGGGGCCGGGGGGAGGACATTAGGTTCCCTCTTATTCTAATTTAAAACCCCTACCCACCGCTCAGGGGTGGGGGCCAGGGGGGGACATTAGGTCCCAACAATTTTTATTTAGGGCCCCCACCCACCGCTCAGGGGTGGGGGCCAGGGGAAGGACATTAGGTCCGTCCCCCCAGTTTTTATTTAGGGCCGCCACCCACCGCTCAGGGGTGGGGGCTGGGGGGAGGACAATAGGTCCCCCCCTTATTTTACTTTAGGGCCCCCATCCACCACTGATGGGTGGGGGTCAGGGGGGAGGACATTAGGTCCCCTTTTATTCTAATTTAGAGCTCCCACCAATCAGGGGTGGGGGCTGGGGGGGGACATTAGGTCCCCACAATTTTTATTTAGGGCCCCCACCCACCGCTCAGGGGTGGGGGCCATGGGGAGGACATTAGGTCCCCCCCAGTTTTTATTTAGGGCCCCCTACTGTCCTCTCCTCCTGGCCTCCATCCCTGCGCAGTGGGTGGGGGTCCTAAATAACAATGAGGGGGGACCTACTGTCCTCCCCCCCGGACCACACCCCTGAGCGGTGGGTGGGGGCCCTAAATAAGAATGACTGTGGGACCTACTGTCCTCCCCTCCGGCACCCACCCCTGAGCGGTGGGTGCCGGAGGGGAGGACAGTAGGTCCCACAGTCATTCTTATTTAGGGCCCCCACCCACCGCTCAGAGGTATGGTCCGGGGGGAGGACAGTAGGTCCCCCTCATTGTTATTTAGGGCCCCCACCCACTGCGCAGGGATGGGGGCCAGGAGGAGAGGACAATAGGTCCTATCCCCCTTTTTGTTATGTAGGGCCCCCACCTGCCACACAGGGGTGGGGGTCGGGGGGAGGACAGTAGGCCCCCCATCATTCTTATTTAGGGCTCCCACCCACCGCTCAGTTGTGGGGGCCGGAAGGGGAGGACAGTAGGTCCCTCCTTATTGTTATTTAGGGCCCTCACCTGCCGCTCAGGGGTCGGGCCGGAGGGAGGACAATAGGTCCCCCCCTATTTTAGTCTAGGGCCCCCACCCACCGCTCAAGGGTGGGGGCCAGGGGGAAGGACATTAGGTCCCCCCAATTGGTATTTAGTGCCCCCATCCACTGCTCAGAGGTGGGGGCCAATGGGGGGAGGACATTAGCTCCCCCCTTATTCTAATTTAGGGCCCCCATCCATCGCTCAGAGGTGGGGGCCAGGGGGGAGGACATTAGGTCCCCTCCAATTTTTATTTAGGGCCCCCACCCACCACTCAGGGGTGGGGGCCGGGGAGGAGGACAGTAGGTTCCACCCCCTCATTGTTATTTAGGGCCCCCACCCGCCGCTCAGTAGTGGGGTCCAGGGGGGAAGGACAATAGGACCCTCCCCCTTATTTTACTTTAGGGCCCCCACCCGCCATTCAGGGGTGGGGGCCAATGGGTTTTTATTTAAAAACATTTTTTTTACTAGACATGCCTCAGGGGTGGGAGCCGGGGGGAGGACAGTAGGTCCTCATTGTTATGTAGGGCCCCTACCCACCATGCAGGGGTGGGGGCCGGGTGGAGGACAGTAGGTCTCCCCGTCATTATTATTTAGGGCCCCCACCCACCGCTCAGGGGTGGGGGCCAGGGGAGAGGACAGTGGGTCCCCCCTCATTGTTATTTAGGGCACCCACCCACTGCGCAGCGGTGGGGGCTGGGGAGGAGGACAGTAGGTCCCACCCCCTCATTGTTATTTAGGGCCCCCACCCACCATTCAGGGGTGGGGGCCAATAGGTTTTTATTTAAACAAAAAGTTTTACTAGACATGCCCCTACTCGCGGTATGTCTGAATTTACTAATACTAAGTAATCTTTACTTAGTATTATTAAGTGTGGCTGAAAGACCAGTTTAGGTCTTTCAGTCTTTTGGTAGATAGCATCCTAATACCGTGGGAATTAGGGAGTTAATTACCAAGCGGCTGCAAGATGCAGCTGCCCCAATGAATAAGATTGGAGTTTCATTCAATCGAATAAAATTGCGATACAAACAAGGTCCCGAATTGCGTTCTAACACGAATGGAGATACTGTTCTTATTCTGTCAGAACGCAATTCAGCTGTTTTGTCAAACGCTTGTTGATTGGCTGCCCTGCAGCTTTTCAAAACGCGCCATTAAATCGTCGAACACCGAACTCGAACTGTTACTGAAATGTCCGGGTGCAGGTTCGGGGTCAAAAAATCTTAATGTTCGGTATGAACCCGAACTTTACAGTTCCGGTTCGCTCAACTCTACAAATGACAATTTTCAGTTCTCTACAACCTATAAAGTGTTTTGAAACTTACTGTGTGTAATAATTTGGAACAGTGCATTGTAAGTTTTTATGTTTAAAAAAAATACTGTTGTCATTAGGAGGTTTGTTCAATAAAATTTTAATTGTGCTCTTAATAGTTGATAACATGAGAATTATGCTGACTGATATTTACATCAATTATTTAGGTAAATAAGAAAAATATAATTTGCACAATAATTTGGAACAGGGTGTATATGCCTCCAATGATCCAGCTAAAGACTTCAGGGTGGAAATAACTCATATAGTTAACACACTACCTCATGGCATGGTTATAGTGGCTGGGGACTTTAATGCGGCACCGTGACAGGGGACCTTGCAGCGGACTTCCACGATCCCATAGGTGGGGTAGACAAGATAAGTTATTGCACACCTTTATGCAACATACAGGCCTAATTGATATTTGGAGAACTCATCACCCTGACCTTACTGATTATACATTTTATTTGACTCCCCACGACACCTATTCGAGGATAAACTTGTTCTTGGTGAATCCTCTGACTGTAACTAAGGTTGTCGACTTTACTATTGGATCTATAACGTGGTCTGATCATGCGGAAATTACGTTAACGCTAGATAAACTGTGTGTGGCATTTCCTTGGTCTTGGCGACTGAATACCTCTTTGCTCCGAGATCCGGAGATAGTCACGAAGATTCGGAAAGACTTGATGGAGTACTTTTCGCGAGAAGCTGAATCTGGCCTACCAATAGCTACGATATGGGCAGCCCACAAAGCGGTTATCAGGAACTCTGTTCGCGAAACTTTATTAGACGATATAGAGAGAGCTATGGTGTGGTCTAAGCGGAACTATTATGAGAAGACAAATAAAATGGACACACTGCTGGCAAGATCCCTTCAACCGAGACAACGAGGCACGCACATAACGAAAATTAAGGACACAACGGGTAAGTATCATACAAACCCCACGGATATTGCTAAAGTCTTCATATATATATCCTATATAACCACTCAAGAAGAGATTCTTTGGGTGCCCACAACGAACTAGAGAGGATCCAGGGGGTTTCTGTCCCAGATGGATCTCCCTAAACTTCTCGGAGCGAATTCGGAAGTCCTGCAAAAACTGAAGAAGTGGACGCAGCCATATCTGCGTTAAAAAGCAATAAAGCACCAGGCCCGCATAGCTTCGAAGGAAGCTATTACAAAATCCTTCGGGAGGAACATGTGCATCACTTGGAATCTTGGTGCAACAATCTCATGGAGGTGGGAACACCAGACGGAGACATGTCCCTGGCAGACATAGTTTTACTACCAAAACCTGGTAGGGATGATGCGATTCCTGAAAACTTCCGCCCCATCTCCCTGATAAACCATGGTTCTAAAATTCTAAAAAAAAATCTTAGCGAGCAGACTGAATCCGATTCTTCCCAGGCTGGTCCACCCAGATCAGGTGGGATTTGTGCCGGGAAGACAACTATTCGAAAACACAAGATGTAGCATCGACCTGATCTGGAGATAGGCCACTAGGGGCACTCAGACCTTGATATTGTCTCTTGACACCGAGAAGGCATTCGACAGGGTCTTGAAACACTTTGGCATATCGGCCCGGTTTGTTACTGCGATCCGGGCCATGTAATATTAAGGCGCAAATTTGGATCTTGGGCGTGATCGTCACCTTGTTCCAATTGAGCAACAGCACTAGACAGGGCTGCCCCCTCTCGCCTTTACTATTCACCCTATCTCTGGAACGCCTGTTACAGAAAATACGTACTTCCCCAGATATTAAAGGAATCACAGTAGGAGGACAGCGATATGTAGTTTCAGGATTTGCAGACGATGTGCTTTTGACAATAACGGACCCAAAAGAGTTTATGGCAGCATTGACAATTATCTTACAGAAATATAGCGACCTCGCCAGATATAAAGTGAATCTGAACAAATCTAGCTCACTTCTTACAGGTATGGTGACGCGGCTTCCCATAGGTAAGCTGACGTGGCTTCTATAGGGACAACTTATCATATACATATAGCGAGGGATTATATAAAATATCTAGGCATACGGTTGACGGCAAACCCCACCCACCTATATCAACATAATTACGTCCCGTTGATTCGAACTTTAATAAGTGATATGGAGAGATGGCATGGATTGGACGGATACACTTTGTCAAAATGAATATCCTTCCTATAATACTATTCCTTTTCCAAGCCCTCCTGGTCCGGTTGACTAAATCTCAGTTAGTGATACTCTGACAGGCTATCGGCCTAGAGTCTCCTGTAACGTGCTTTTCAGGGCACAAAATAGCAGGGGCTTGGGTCTCCTGAATCTTTATTATTTTTACATGGCTGCGCAACTGGCCCAGAAAACACTATGGCACTATCCCCCAGAGGAGAGAAGATGGGTAGATCTGGAATCCTCCCTCATGGGGGCGGATATGCCCCAATTCCTGATATGGATCCCTAAAGAACACACACCGACGGTTCAGGCAGCATGCCCCACTATATTAAACTCTCTTAAGATATGGGATGAGGCTGCTATGAAATATTATTTGACATCTTCCCCTTCTCCGATGACTCCGTTCCTGAGGAATAGAGCGTTTTCCCCACCGGAATGGCAGCAAGGGATTTTAGGGGGATAGAGAACACGGGATTGCAGAGATTAGGACATCTCTTTGAGTAAGGCTCGTTGGTAACTTTTGAGGAATTGAAAATTAGTGCCCTGTTAAGACCGTTTGACTATTTTCGTTACATCCAGTTAAGGGATTACGCAAAAAATCCACAGGTTTATAAAGCGGCTCTAACACAACCAACATTCTTTGAGGGGATGTGCCTCAGGGAAACGTTTCCCAGCAGGCTAATTTCCTGCCTCTATACTGACCTAAGCACCCACACCTTAGAGTGGGGACGGATCACATATACCGAGCAGTGGGAAGCAGATCTGGGAAAGAAACTGGAGGACATAGAATGGCAGGAAATTTGTGAGGCCGCCGCCATGTCCTCTGTGTGTGTCTCTCTGCAGGAACAGTCATTTAAGACATTATTTCGATGGTACACTACACCGATGAAAGTTTATGGAATGCATATTTTTGAAAAAGAGGTTAAACTGGGTATTCTTATTGGCTGGATCTCTGGAGTATTGGACACGAGTGGAACAAAACCTTCTCCATAAAATAAACCTAGCCACCAGGAGAGCTCTGGCCCAGGTGTGGTTACAGAGGGAAACGCCCACACTATCCATGGTGATAGAAAACAAATAAAGACACTTTCCTTATGGCCAAACTAACAGCACAGGTTCGAGGGACAATGAACAAGTTAGAAAGGACTTAGGGCCCTTGGATGGCTAGCGCAACTAGCAAATAAGGGATGTATGGGGTGGGCTCAGTCCCTCACACATCCCATTCATCATATGATAGATACCGAAATATAGCTGCATATAGCTCAAATCTCTGACTTTAAGGATCCCCCTAGGAGATAATCTTTCACTGAATTGTCCCAGTAAACGTACCTAATATTGCCCATAGACTTGTCAGTGTCTCATAAGTGGCACTGTGGTCGGCCCCACTAGACCATCTCCCCCCACACCCCACCTTTTTTTCCCCCTCCTATCTTCTATCCTACTATTCCTATTCTTTCTCTGTCCATTTTTACTTCTGTTTTACCTGTTCACTTCGTACGACTACACAGCGTAGGATTATAACTGGGATACTAAGGGTAGGAACAAGAAAATTTAGATCCCAAAAGGCTCTCTGGCACTCCTGAGTGGGTGGCGACCACGGATCGACTAACTTTCCTATCTCGATATGATAATGTTTGTAGAGTTGTTCACAGTTTTACTTTTATTTACATCAAAAATCAGGGCGGGTTGTCGGATATGGTGCATTTTCGAGTTAGGCCACAGACACACTGTACTGTCTCAATTAACAGATTGCTCATGTTATACCGTTCACAGCACTGCGTTCACTGCCTTTACATATACAAATGTTGGTTGATGTGCATATACAAATGCCTCCCCCCAACTTTCCTCTTCTTTTTTTCACAAAAGTCCAGTTCAAGCCATATTCAAAGGACTCCAAGAACCTCAGGAATGGGACTCTCCGGGCAAACGCCTGAGATCATTAGAAGAAGGATAAATCGAAGAAGAAAGAAAGAGGCCACAACAAAGACGGATGTAGGTAGTGAAGGCATTTTTAACCTTTCAGATCAAACATTAGAGAAAGAGGAGCTTAAGATTCTTAAGAAGGGCTTAAAATTTGCTCCAATGTCAGATTTTAATTCCTTCGATTTTTTTTATAGATCTTAATTGTTTTACCAGATAATTATGTGTAAATACGTTTTTTTTATAATAAAAAGGAAGCTGCGCTAATAGACACTACTACCATATACGTACACAGTAATTTGAAAGAAAAATCTAAATTTTTCCCGAAAAATATGATTTCTAATGAAATCAAAACATTTGAAACAATGATAATGAAAGAAGTGAGTAAAATAAAAAATACCAATATGTAACAAAAAATCCTTCACAAATAGAAATAAAAGCTCTTAGGGAATTACAGAAAAATTAAGAAATTGTAATTAAACCAGCAGACAAAGGAGGAGGAGTTGTGGTTTTCTTGAAAGGAAATTATGTAAAAGAAGCCAAAAGACTTTTAATGGACGAAAAGACCTATTAAAAAAATTAAATCCAACCCGAGTCAAGTAATTAAAGGGAACATATTCCACATATTGAAAATACTTTGTGACATAAAATGGGAAGAGGATTTTATACTAGTTACATGTGATGTAACTTCCCTCTGCAGTATTATCCCACATGATAAGGGTACAGAGGCAGTGGAATATTTTCTAAATAAATCCAATTTCCAAAAAGAACAAATTGATTTTATTATTAGAGGTATATTTTTAATCCTTACCAACATTTTTTTTTGTTTAAGGATAGGTTTTTCTTCAAATTAATTGAAAGGCAATGGGAACCAAGTTCGCACCCAGTTTTGCAAATTTATTAATGGCGTACTGGGAAGAAAGATTTATTCTTCAGCACACTTTCTATGCGAACTTGGTTACCTATCGCCGTTTCATTGATGATATATTTTTTATTTGGAAAGGAGACAAACCAAGTCTCGGTAATTTTTTATACCATCTTAATACCAATAATTGGGGGATTGTTTTTAACTTCAGTGCAGAGCACAAAAGAGATCAACTTTTTGGATCTTACAATTTTTATAGAAAATGGGAAATTACATACAAATATTTTTTTTTAAAGAAGTCGATGCAAACAGTTACATAGATTTTAAAAGTTGCCATTACACTCCAGGGCTTAATAATGCACCAAAGAGTAAATTCACGAGTTTAAAAGGGAATAGCACACATGAGAAAGATTTCATACAACAGACAAATAAAACAATTCATTGAAAAAGGCTATAAGGAAGTGGACCTCCAGATGAATATAGAGGAAATAAAAAAAAAAAAAAGGATAGGAAAGCTCTACTAACTATAAGAAAAAACAAAATGAAGAAATTAAGGAAGTAAAAGTCCCATTTATTTGTGATATTGCAGCTAGAAATAAAAAAGTACAATATGCCATTAAAAAGCATCTCTTGCACGATGATCCCATTCTTAAAAATATACTACCATCAAAACCTAGAATTGTACACAGGGGATGTAAGAATATAAAGAACACATTAGTAAGGAGTAATTATAAAGATCCAATAAAGGCAGAGAACTTCCTAACCAGCAGTAAAGTTTTTTTGGATGCGGAAGTTGTTTAGCGTGTAGAGAAACCAATAGTAAAAAGAGAAACGTAAAGAATATTAATGAATTTACAAAGAAAGGCTTTACAATAAGAGAACAATTAACTTGCTTTTCAAAAAATATTATTTATATATTAAAATGTCCTTGTGACATGTTGTACATTGGGAGAACAATTAGGTGTTTGCACATCAGAATATCAGAACACGTCAGAAACATTAAAAATGGCATAGAGACGCACAGTGTATCCCAACATTTTAAGGAGCATCACAATCAAAATCCTAAAGATCTCACCTTTTGTGTACTTAAATTAGTCAAAAGAAATTGGAGAGGAGGAGATTTCATGAAACAAATTAGATTTATTTTTAATTTTAGTACATTAGCCCCCCATGGTTTGAATTTGGATTTTGAAATTTGTCATTTTTTAACTTAATAATACTTTTAATATTAATTTCCTACCATCTTTTATGAGCCTTTTTATATATTCTTTTATTAAATTTAAATTTATATTAAACTACCTATTTATGAATTCATCCCACCATTTTCATTTTTGAAGAATTATTTTACACTATAATTTTATAGTGGTGTGGTGTCCATTTTTTATTACACAATATGCAACTTTTATAAACAGTTTTTAATATTAAATATTTTGAATTTGAAGATAAATGCTGTTTAAATGTTCACATTGTTTATGTTTCTGAGCTAAATGGATTATATTAGATCCTCTTGTACTGTAATCTTATAATGGTCTTATATTACACATTATGCAATCATGGGTGTAATATGAAGCACTTCAAATAACAGTTCTTATACTTCTAATTTGAAGATGAATGCTATGTTAAAATCTTTAATTGTTTTTATGTTTGTTTTATATGCTATATGGACTCAATTAAAGCTTCCTGCAAGTGAAACTAAGGACAGATAAATTCTTCGTTGAAAATATGGAAGTGGAACGCAGATTTGCGTTCCACAGAGAAAATAAGCAATCATTAGACTATGTAATCCGGTGGATAGAGGGAACGTGTGTTCCATTGGACGGAACGTGCGTTCCATTGGAGACATTTCCGGACACACAGACCAACAGGCTAAATAGACGGACAGGGGGTGCGTTCCACAGAACGGAACGTGCGTTCCACCACGAACACTTCCGGGTATACAGATGCTGGCAATTTATGAAATTAAGAAGATATAAAAGACACAACTGACTACTACATATCAATCACCAACTAAGGAAGCCAGCTGATAGCAAAACGTGTTTTGGGACTATAACTCCAAGGCTACTTAAGTACTTTTTGATCATATTTTACTTCATTTGATTTGTGTTTAATAAATGTATTCATCAATATTATCAAAGTCTTCCTGTCTATCCCTGCTGGGTTTAAAGACACAGAAGAGGGGTGTGGATCTCCCTTAAGGATCCAAAGGTGCTTTACACCAGAGCCAGGTTACCCACTGGCTCTTTCCTTGTGAGTTGATTATCTTCTCATCCTACTTTATTGTATGATTACTGTTCAGGCTATCTGCACTATTATTGTGTTAAATATCATTCACAGATTTTTGTAAAGTGAGACATCAAGTACATATATCCTCAAGATTATTATTCAGTTATACTAAAGCTCCACTTATATTGTATTTGCATATTATTTTAGTTACCTAATCAAAAAAATCAATCAGATTAGTTTGGCATGATCTCCCATGAACACATGTTGTCTCTGATCTTGAAATCCATGTGCTTTTAGATGTTCAACAATCCTATCCTTTAACATGGTTTCCATCACTTTCCCCACTACTGAAGTCAGGCTTACGGGCCTATAGTTGCCAGACTCTTCCCTATTACCTTTCTTGTGAATAGGCACAACATTCGTTAACTTCCAATCTTCTGGGATTACTCCTGTTAACAATGATTGGTTAAATAAATCTGGTAATGGTTTTGCTAGTACACCACTAAGCTCTTTTAATAAATTTGGATGTATTCCATCAGGTCCCATTGACTTTTGTGTCTTTACTTTTGACAGTTGAAAAAAAGAACCTCTTCCTCTGTAAACTCCCATGTAACAAATTACTAATTTGTCCTTTTTCCTAACTGATGCCTCTTTCCTTAACTTTCATCTGTAAATACTGAACAAAAATATTTATTGAGGCAGACAGCTAGACCTTTATCCTCTTCTACATACCTTCCATACCTTCCTTCTTTTGTTTTTAATCTAACTAATCATTGTTTTACTTTCCTTTTTCTCATTTAAGTATCTAAAACATTTTTTGTCCTTTTTTTTTTTTTTTACTGACTGTGCTATTTTCTCTTCTCTGTGTGATTTGGAAGCTTTTATAACTTGCTTAGCCTCTTTCTGTCTAATCTTATAGATCTGTCTATCTTCCTCGCTCTGTTTGTTCATAATTACTAAATGCTAACTTTTTGTTTTTAACTATTTTGGCCACAACTGCGGAGTACCACAGTGGTTTCTTACATTTTTTGCTTTTACTGACAAGCCTAATGCAATTTTCTGTTGCCTTCAGCAGTGCAACCTTTAAACTATCCCATTTTTCTTGGACTCCATTTAAACTGCTCCAGTCTGATAATGACCCCTTTACACATATTCTAATTTTAGAAAAGTATGTTTTTCTAAAGTCTAAAACTTTTGTTTTCAGTCACTCAGTCACTGTTCTTTTATTAAACCACACTAACTGATGATCACTGGATCCTAATCTTCCACCTACTGTAATATCTGATACCAAATCTCTATTTGTTAACACTAAATCTAGTATGGCCTCTTTATGAGTTGGCTCCTCAACAACTTGTTTTAGAGACATTTGTACTCTAAACAAGTTTAGAATATGTGTGCTCCTGGCACAAGCAGCTATTTTGGATTTCCAGTTAACATCAGGAAGATTAAAGTCACCCATGATGATAACTTCCCCCTTCATTGTCATTTGAGCTATTTCCTCAACTAGTAGATTATCTAACTCTTCTATTTGTCCTGGGGGCCTATAAATCACACCTACACAAGTTACTGTGTGATTACCAAATTCTAACATAACCCAAACGGACTCAATGTTCACCTTACTAGCTTTTATTAGGTTTTATGCTATCCTTCACATACAGGGCCAGCCCTCCCCCTTTCTTGCATTCTCTGTCTTTTCTATATAAATAATACCCTTTATGTGGTGTAATTTTTTCTCATTACACCATGTCTCAGTAACAGCGACTAAATCTACATTATCAGTTGCCGTTATTGCCACAAGTTCATGGATCTTATTCCCTAAACTGCGAGCATTTGTAGACATGACTCTTTCAGCTTATGATTTTTTAATACACTTGCTACAGGCACCTTCTGTACTTGTTCACTGTTGATGTGCTGAAGATATTATTTAGCCTGAATCACTTTATGTTTGTTGCATAGCATTGATATATTTGCATTTAAGAAAGGATATTAGCTATTATTTTTATATATTGGTTTGAATTATTTTGTATTGTGTAAACATTGTTGTTTGATTCTAGGATCTCATTAGAGTTGCATCAACTATTAATATAAGCAATTTACCACTACTTTGTTACGCTTATTTTTTATGAAAAATTACATTTGCATGCCAAAAATTACACAATCATTAATGAAAACAAATGCATTAATCAAGAGCTTGACCAACAATTTACTAAATCAGGATTTTGGATAATTAATGACAATATCCCTCTTTTGCAACAATTGTATATTTGTAGCTGTACATATTTTATTTTTCACCAATATACACTTGTAATCAAAACTATTCAACACCCATTCAGGGCCGGTGCTAGGATTTCTAGCTACACAGGCGAAAATGCATTTTGGCGCCACTCACCCTCCTTTAAAAAAAAAAAAAATGCATCTTCATCTGTGTGTACTTCCTCCCAAGCTACAGCCATCATTTTTCAGTCACACAGTCAAAGTCATACAGGTACACTGTCATACAAACACAGAAATAATCATACAGAGACATATATACACATACAGTCAGAGACATACAGACATACAGGCAAAGACATACATGCATACAGAGACATGAAGGCATATAAATACATGCATACCTACAGAGGCATACCATCATACAGACACATACATACAGGCATACAGAAACATACATACAAAGACATACAGGCACATACATACATACAGGAATACAGAAACATACAGGCATGCACATACATACATATAGAGAAATACAGGCATACAGAAACATACATACAAAGACATACAGGCATACAGAAACATACATACAAGACATACAGGCATACAGACACATACAAACATACATACATACAGAGGCAAACCATCATACAGAGACATACATACATACATACATACATACATACAGAAACATGCATACAAAGACATACAGGCATACAGAGACACACAGACACATACATACATACGTACATACAGAGACATAAAGGCATACAGTTACACACATGCATACAGAGACATATATACAGACATTCAGAGACAAACATACATTCAGTTACATACATACATGCATGCATACAGATACATGCATACATGGATACAGAGACATACATACATAATTACATACTTACATTTGTTAAATCTTGTCCCTTGGGTGCATGCTGTCTGGCTCTGTGGAGTCCTGTCCTGCAGCCCAGCCCCATCACTGGGCACCAGCCGCGCTGTGTGGTACACAGGGAGCAGGGATATGATGTCATTCATATCCCTGCCCGTTCCACACAGCCTGCGGCAGACACCAGTGTAGTTGGTGGGCTGGGCTCCGCGGGCGGGAATCTCTTGGCTGCGCTCGGCCATGCTACAAGTAGTAACCGGCTGGACGGGAGCGCAGTGCGCTTCCCACCTTCTGGTCAGCCTGATGTCGCGCCCCCAGGGCCGGTGCCACCTTATGGTAGCGCCGGCCCTGCACCCATTGAAAAGCAGGTTTATTGTCAAAATGTATATTCTTTCAGCTGTTTGCAATGAGCAAATCAGATAAAAACTATTGAAATAACACAACAAATGCTTCAAGTAGGATCTCTAAATTCAACTGAAAACTCAACTTCTAATGACTTCTCTAGTCCCTTTATGGCAAGCATTTTTAATAATTAGCAGAGCCACTTTTAGCTGTTATGTCCTGCTGCAAATGAGATGCATAGCCAGACACCATTCCTTAGGAATCATAGCCCATTGCATTGGTGGATTTAAGGTATGATTGGGATCATTGTCTTGTTGGAAGGTCCAATGAATACCCAAACTTCAGTTTATCACAGACAGCATGATGTTTTCTCCTAGGATTTCCTGATACTTAGATGAATCCATCTTGCCTTCCACACCCTGCAGGGTTCTAGTGCCAGAGGATGCAAAGCAGTCCCAGAGCATTACCAAGCTACCACCATGCTTAACTGTAGCCAGAGTGCTCTTTCCAGCGTATGCTTCATTCTTGTTCCTCCAGACCTACTGCCGATCCATTGGGCTGGAAAGTTCCAGTTTTGTTTCATCTCTCCAAAGAATTTCCAAACTTCTGTGACTTATTTATATCATTTTGAGCATACTGGAGCTAAATTTTCTTATGTTTTTCAGTCAGTAGTGGTGTACATCTTGAAGTTCTGGTACGGAAACATTCTACGTTTAGTACTCGTCTTACTGTGCTCACAGAAACCTCAGTGCCTATTGCCACCAAGTCTTGCTGCAGGTCTTTTACAATTACTCAAGGATTATTAGCAACCTACCTTTTCAGAAATCTGGTTGCAGCCATTGATAGCTTCCTTTTTTCTGCTCCATCCAGCTTGTGTAACCGGCAAAAGGACAAAACGCAATTTTGGGCACCTGTTCTAAAGAATTATATAATGGCACTAGAAAAAGTGCAGAGACGAGCTACAAAATTGATAAAAGGAATGGGGCATTTTAGTTACGAAGAAGGTTAAAAAACTTAAATCTCTTTAGTTTGGAAAAACGGCGCCTCAGAGGGGATATGATAACATTATACAAATATACAAACCATTATTTGGAAATCTATTTATAAACAGGGCTATATATAGGACACGAGATCACGCATTTAGGCTGGAAGAAAGGAGATTCCATCTAAGGCAAAGAAAAGGTTTTTATTTACTGCAAGAGTAATAAGGATATGGAATTCTTTGCCTGAAGAGGTGGTTTTATCAGAGTCCATACATATGTTTAAACTAAAATTGGATAAATACTTGCAAAAACATAACATACAGGGATATAATTTCTAATAAGTGGGGTAATAGCTGCTTGATCCAAGGAGACATTTGACTGCTATTTTGGGGTCAAGAAGGAATTTTTTCCTAGTTTGTTGCAAAATTGGAAGCGCTTCAGACTAGGTTTTTTGCCTTCTTTTGAATCAACAGCAAAAACATATGTGAGGAAGGCTGAACTTGATGGACACAAGTCTCTTTTCAGCTATGTAACTATAACTATTTAACTATATACTATCACTAATGTGCTTGGGACTTGGGAGATTCTAAACGAATATACTCAGCTAGATTACAAGGGATCTGTTACAATGTGCTATTGTGAGGGATTCTATTCAAGGAGTTGAATCACTTTTGAGACTGGAGAAGTCACTATAAGTTGCATTTTCGTTGAATTTGTGGAAACCACTTGAAGCATTCATTGTATTGAGCTATTTCATTTGCTTTTGTTGGATTTGTTCATTGTAAGCAGCTGAAAGTCAGTAAATTGTGACAATAAATCAGATTTTTCAATGGGAGTTGAATAATTTTGATTACATCTGTACGTTGCCAAACTCGCCCTTTTTACATTATTTTTACTGGCCAAGTCTATTGACACCTTTATTATTTTTCCACAGCTCATGTTATTCTCTAACAGTCACTGCTATAAACTTTTGTTATAGTTACAGTATGTGAATAAAGTAGAATGTTGGGAATTCCCAAAGACCAAGTCCAAATCTCTGGAGCGCATGTTGTAACCGGGCTAGGTACAAGATCTGTCAAGCTTCCAAATACACATATACTGATTGTGGGAGTTTGCAATTACCATGAAATTTTGCATTTTTTTAACCTCTTCAGGAAGTTTGAATTAGACTCCAGGGATGGATTTACCGTAACATAGCATAGTTCATTGGCATGTGGGTCAATAGTCTGCATAACAAGCCAATAACAAGCTAATTTTGTCCTCTTGAAACTAAATGAATTTTCTCAGAGCCAAATTAACATGTCAGCGCCACATCTCCAGGCCCTTCTTGCTGTGATAGGTCCACACTACTGGCTAAACTGTGAATCCTGCAGCTGCCTATTTCCTCTCCTCCTGATTGAGCTCTGGGTGAGCTGCAGACCAGGGCTAACCTTCTTTTTTAGGGGATGCCTTTTCATTCTGCAGCCAATCTGAGTGCTTGTAGGAATGAGACAAACAGAAATGGGTATATAGGTCGCGCTAAGGGGACAAGGAGGTAAAATAAATGAAATAAATAAAAGTGATAAAAAAGTCCCAAATATAAATAAACCTGTGTTGTTCTAGGAGAGTATACAGTCCAAATGGATATCTGAGTCTTCTTATGTTGAGGATGTCTTGGAATGCTTGTCAATACGTAGATACATAAAAAAAGAAGAGGAAGAAGAACTCCAATAGTGTAGAATGTCGATAAAATTTCCAGGTGTGGATCTATAAGTAGGTAAATGACTCACCTTGGCGTGAGCAAAAAAACTTGCTCAAGTGTTCTTAGCGTTCAGTGGCGTCAATCCCCCACTCTCATTTTTTATATACCGAGGAAGGCGATATATAGGCGATGGGGTCCTGGACAATTCCTCGGTATATAAAAAATGAGAGACGTATATAGTG